TCATGGAGCTGAGGGAAGATTTACTGGGCTTGATCAATAGCTGGGCCAACATACACTCTGGAGCGACGAACCAGGTTCACTTGGCGGAGGATGGAGTCAGCCAGGTAGGAGGGGGCCGATGGCTCGTGGTAGACGATACCGGAGGGCTTGTCACAGCAGCACTTGCCGAGAAGATGGGCATCCTCTATCCGGAGGAGGAATACGACGACTCATCTTCCGAAGAAGAGGTAGCTGACGTCGAAATGAACGGCACACCAGCACCAACCTCCGCCCCGTCGCCCAAAGACACAGACACCGCCATGCCCGACGCCGACGCCAGCACCACAACAGACCCCACAGCCACCCCTTCAGATCCCCCTCCCCGCCCACGAAAGCCCCCACGACCACACATCCCGCAAATGTCCGCCCAAACAAACACCCTCACCGTCCTCCACCCCAACAACCAACCCAACCTCTCCTACCTAAAATACTTCGGCTACGACTACGGCAACCCCACGCCCGCCCACCCCCTCTACAAACACCTCAAATCGCTCTCCTGGCTCGCCCTCCTCCACCCCGAAGACGACCCTTCCTACGACGAGCCCGAGATAATCTCCGAGGAAGTCCTTGCAAGCATGAAGTCAACGAAACGCGGTACCTACTATAAGAAGCGCAGACGTTGGGAGAGGGTTAAGAGTGTGGTGGATGAGACAAAGAGGGGTGGGTTTGATGGGTTGGTGGTTGCGACGGCGATGGATGCGAAGACTGTGTTGAGGGAGTTGGTGCCGCTTGTGAAGGGTGGGGGGAGGATTGTGGTGTATAATCCTAATGTTGAGCCGTTGGTTGAGTTGTGCGATCTTTACTCGAAAGAACGCCGCGCGGCGTACATCGCACGCGAATTTGGACCTCCGCCGCAAACCAACGGTAACGGTAACACCAACGGCAAACGAGTCAAAATCGAAGACGACATCGATACCCCAGCAGGCACGTCCGAAGCCGACAACGAAGAAGACGACTTCCCGCTCAACCCCACCTTGGTCCTTGCACCTAGTCTGCAGACGGCGAGAGCGAGGCAGTGGCAGGTTCTTCCTGGCAGGACGCATCCTATGATGACGAGCAAGGGGGGTGCGGAAGGGTATATTTTTACGGCTACGAGGGTGGTGCCGGTTGAGGGGAGGGTGGAGGCGAGGGGGCATCATGGGAAGAAGAAGAGGAGGGTTGAGGAGAGTGGGGAGGCTGTTGCGGCAGCGACGTAGGGCTGAGGGGAATACATGATGGAAATGATTGGTATGTAGGGTATTGGCCGGTTGAATGAGCATGCGGCATATCTTTCCAAATTTGAACTGCAGATTGTGCATCTACGCTCCAAGTCTTGCAAGTCATCTCATCTTTGCGCTGGGTATATAAATCCATCTCTCGCACCTGCTCTCCTTCTTTTCTTCATCACACTTGTCTTTCATCATTTTCCAAAAATGTCGGGCACACGCTACATGACCTGCCTCTTTCTTCCAAAAAGTATCACTATCTCGAATCATGGCCTGCTTCCTCCTCCCTCTTCCAAAATCAATGCTCATTTACTCGATGTCTGCGTCCGCCGTCCAAAAGGTCGCATTGCATCATCATGGCCGTCGCTCCTCTTCTAAAACAACAGACCCGATATTCATGTTGGAGAGCAGAGCAGAAACTTCCGAAAAGTCAGAAAAGAAAATACAACGGCGACGTATTCATGCATCCCGGTGCTGGTTTTTCGTTCACACCACTACCGTTGTTGCTGGCAGCTGGTCTGTGGGTATAAAATCTGGAGCTTGACTGAGCATGTCTCCTGCATCACACTTCCAATTCCGAATTACCAAAAACACTTGAATGGTGGATCATGTGCTGTCTCTCTTCCAAAATCGGCGATAGAAGGCCTGATGAGTGGGAAGACTGTCGGACTTCTGCGATATCAAAATGCTGGCTATGGTTGGCTATGATTTTCAAAAGACGGAGAAGTGCTCCATGTGTTCGAGAAAACAGCTAAACCTCGCTTCATGGAGAACCAAAAGCGACCGGCCATTTCTGGATGACTTCCGTGGCTTCCTTCCTTCGCAAGCCGCTAGTACAGCATGGTCGGGTATAAAACACCGTCTTGCTTCGCTCTGTTCCTTCTTTCTTTATAGTACCTTTGCTTAGGATTACTCAAAAAGAACACCAGGAAGGGGTCATGTGCGTCCTCTCTTCCAAAATCCTGATACTGTCACTCCATGGCCAGGACGATCTCCGCACTTCCCACATCCAGAATTCCGATCCAAAACCCACGCAGTACACATCATGATCCGCGACTGCAACGTCTAAAACATCATCGCAAAACCCGAATGGCTGTGTGGTCTGGTGTTGGAACAAAACTAGGAGAGGAACCACGGATGTGTGGAGAAGAAGACCGAAATATTACTACGCCTTCGCCATGTTCTGTGGACGTCGGCACTTTGCACAACAGTGGATTAAAAAGATATACCGTCGCATGCATGGCTCTCTGTCTCGGTATCTAACTTTCTCTATCTAAGACCAAAATCTGAGGGCGCTCATTTCATGTGGCTGGAGAAAGACCCGGCTCATTTCAGACTTACAGTCTGAAAACCACTCGACATCTTCGTATGTGCCACGACATGGAATTCCAGAAAAAGTGAACACCAGTGATTATGACTCTTTGTCTCTGCTCTTTCAAAAATCACAAGATTCATCCACAATGTCTGTGAGAGAGATCCATTTTCCCAAAAGCCATCTTCCAAACTGTGGATGGGAAACATTGATGTTGCGCGACTGCGATTTCTGGAATACCGCCTGCAAGAGTATATGATCTTCGCCTGTGTGCGAGAAGGGGGATCGATGCTGATGTATTCCTCAAATCTGGAAGGTACTACCGCATTTTGGAGCTTTCAAAAGAGCAATGCGTACCGTTAATGTCTTCTTCTCTCGGTCCAGCATCAAAGTCACGCTCGTCCATGACGGAGATATTCGGCATGATCTGAGCGCAAGCCCTGAGCGTGTATCAATACCCACTGCCTTTCGCTCTGCTTTGTCTTCTGCAATTCACTCCACTTCTACCATTTATTACCAAAAACCTTCAAGAGCTGCATCATGACTGCCTTCCTTTCAAAAGTCTGACTATCGCTCTACATGCCCGGAGTCCTTCTGGGGTGTTTACTCAAAAGTTACAACCTCCGCCACATGTGTGTGGGAATCAAATCACAGCGCTTCATTCTCAATCACATGTGGCCGGTCGGTATGTAAAAGTTGTCTAAAGTCTTCTCCTCTACTGGATATGTGTTCCAGAAAGGGCGTTGAGATCTTACGGTGGAATATTAAAATGCGCAGGATGACGAGACATGACTTGTCCTCGTCGCGCGCGGCCGATATAAAAGCTCTCGTCTACTTCCCGGTCTCCTCCTCTTCTACATCCTCACTCACAAAAGAGAAATTACCAAAAATTCGTCCCGTCGGTACGATGACTTTCCGCTGCCTAAGAAAAGAGATGGATCGCTACATGACGATCTCGCCCGTCTCTGACACTATCGAAAGATTTCTCGGCGTCACCAATGTGCGGCGACCGATCTCCTCGAACAAAAGTACAAGCTTGAATCTCTATGTGTTCTTCTCCGCTGTTGTTCTGAAAAACCTACAACCTAATTTTTTATGCAAACTGGTGGCGACACCGAAAGATCTCGACGAAGTCCTTACGTCGCCACTCTCCCCTTTCTCTCAAAAGTCTCCCATTTTACTTCTATGAGTTTGCTGGCGCCGTGCTTCATCAAAAACTGTTAAACGAGGTGCATATGTCCTCTGTCGGAAGAATGAAAAAACTCATGTCTGAGCTCCCATGTCCCAGAAAGTGAGCGCGATGAAAGTTTATTAAAATGCCTCGAGATCGGCCACATGACTAGCGGCTGGGCTTGTGGCGATATAAAAGCCTGCTGTTTTCCTCCCTTTGACTCTTCACATACCACGTACAGTCCTCGGACATCAAAATCACACATGAGCTTGCCATGTCTCTTCTCTCTTTTCCAAAACAAAAGAGGCAGACCGCATGGGTCGAGAGGACGGAACCAAAAACCACTTTCGCGCGAACTATGATGAGTAGTTTTGAAATTCCCAGTTCATGCACATGTACAGCAACTGGCTTCCTCAGGGACTACATGTGTCCCACCATTACCAAAATTAAACCGGTACTCTGCCATGCTCTTCTCTCCTGCAGTATCAATAGATGATGTATACTAGTCGTGAGAGAAGCAACTCTCGGCTAGGAACCTGCCGTTCCAGAGGAATATAAATCCTGGCCTTTCTTCCTGCCCTTCTATACAACCCGCATTCCATACTTCAAACTCAAAAAAGCAACATATGCAGCCCATGTTCGCTGTCGCTGCTCTTCTTTTCAAACAACAAGCGGTAGCCGTCATGAGATCCAGAGACGGCCAGCCTGTACAGTTAACTAAACGGAAGAGACATCCTGATGGGATACAGCGTACTGAAATGAAATGGGTGTTGTGATAATTTGCAGCGCCTCGAAAACCGCAGGAAAGTTGGAAGTATGCAACGTGTTTGCATTTCTGCGGGTGGCGCCATCGGAGACAGCCGTGCATCCGTCCCTACGCCTGTGCGACGCTGTTTCAATGTACTTGGCCACGTATCTGAGCGTTCATGAAAGCTGTCACACGTGATATGGGCAAGAGTATGATGTGAGTGCGATGCATAGTATCGGCAAAGGCAATATCTACACTGTCTAACGAACCTGATCGATGAATCCATCGATCGGAATTACCGCTTGATGACGCCATCAAGTCCTCTCACAACGCGTGACGATTCCGTCACGTATGAACCACGCCGTTCGATGAATCCATCGAACGTGCCCTGGGATTACCATGTCCTCGGCATCTCCGCCAGCAAGACTTTCTACAAAGGGCACATCAGATCCGTCAACCAGATGTGAAACCTCCGACGTGGAGACGTTTTCGACTGCCACCGTCGCCGGGGTCATCGTGACCGCTTCACGCGCGCAAAGCATCGAACCGGGGGAAAGGACCTCGTGGCGTCTCATTCACCCAGAAACCCCTCTCTTTCCACCCCTTTCCCACTCGCAAATACTCTGGCAAGGGCAGACATAGTATGTACTCCCCCTTTGCATCCGCCCGTAGCATGACGCAAGGCCTTGGGGCGATTGGGCCGCTCTCTCCGGGACTTGTGCAGCAGACAACGCACGCTCTGGACGCCCCTTGACCCTTCGGGACAAGATAGGAGCGGATAAATCCATAGGCCGCGGTGAGCATGCAAAGAGCGTTATCTTCATGGTCGGCATCGTTCCAAGCTCTGATGCAGAATTTGGTCGTAAGGCATTTTTTGACTTCATCGCGAAGCAGTTTCGTGAGCTGGGCAGGAATGCCGTTGCGTATGACGACGTTGCGACCATCCTGAATAGGCAGCAGTATTGCGATGGGGTATTCCTTGGCATGAAGTTCCGAAGAGGCAGTCGCAGGCACGGAGAAGTTGGGTTCGGCATCGCTGGCAAACGGGCACTCGCTATCCTGAGGCAGTATCGCGATGGGGTATTCCTCTGCAAGAAGTCTCGAAGAGGCAGTCGCAGGCACGGAGCTTTCGGGTTCGGCATCGCTGGCGAACGGGCACTCGCCTTCTCGAGAGCGTCGCGACTGACGTTTTGCTCGCTTGCTCAAAGAGCGTTCGGCACTGGCTCGCCGTTTCCCTGCGCCCTTCGTTGGCAGTGTCTTTCGAGGTACGGCAAGATCTTCTTGGAGTGTTAGCACCTCTGCCTTCATTCCAAAATTAGTGAGTTGATTACCAGTTGCTGACTCTTCTGTGTCAGCAGCAAGAACAGTTGAAGCGGCAATGGAACGAACCCGCAGAGGTTCCTCGTGCATGGCAGGCCGACTTCCTTTCACTCTGCGTCGGTCTGCTTCGTATTGAAGCATATCGGCAATCTCTTCGTCTTGCAGTGCTTCAAGAAACACGTTGGGTGCATCAGGCACCTCTGGCAGGTCGGACGCCATCTTGTTGACGTGAATGGTATGGGGTTGCAGCCACTTTGTCGAAATGAACTGATGATGTGTGCGCGCTACTTGGTAATCACGCTCGTCGGGGCAGGCACGAAGAATCGGATGACAAACGTTGACGTAGCTATGGTGGTTTGGGCAGGAAGTCGCACCAAGTCCGCCACACCATCTCCCACACACCACTTCTCTCAATGCCGCCCGAATTACGAGGCATGCCGCACAATCCAGGGGACATCAGCGAGATATCTCCAAACGTAGTGTTGCACAAGCTGGCTGTGACACACAGATAAATTGTACAATTATGCAATGACATTCATTGATGCCGCAACCTCTGTATATCCGCAACGATGACCTTTTCCCCTTCCTCGTGAGCTTTTCTCACGAGCTGTCCTCGCGAGCGTCTACTCACGAGCGTTCACTCTACCTACGGGCGCTTACTCACGAGTGTTTTCTCACAAGACGACGACGCCATCACCTCTTGGCCCTCCAAATAACGCACAGCCTCGTCGAAGTAGTACTCTCTAGCATCCACCTCACCGACTTATTCGAGCAAGCTCTTCATCAACGAGTCTGTCGAACTCTTCGCTAAGAGCGTTGAAATCATGCTCGTCGACTTCTTCCTTCTTGACGAAAGGAGCAGAAGTACGACTCGCATCCCTGAGCCTCTCAGTCTCAGCCTTAAGCTGCTCGTTCTCAGTCTTGAGCCGCTCATTCTCGGCCCGGAGAGCATACATGTCCGCCCTCATCTTATCGATTTCGGCACCACCGGCATCAGTCCGTGATCGCTTCGGCTCCGGTTCTTCGTCGTCGTCACCCCGTGAGCGCTTGGGCACCTGCTGTGACGGATGGTAGTGTCCTTTGTCGGCAAGCGGCAGCACGCTATCGGCAAACTCGCGGTACTCTGGGTAGTCGCGTCGAATGACCTCCAGATCGAGTGGCGACGGGCGAGTTTGCCTGGGCCTACGCATCCCTTCGCTTGGGCACGCACGCTTCAGGAAGGCAGCAGAGAGCCAATATCGGTCACAAAGCTATCGAGCATCAGCATCTGGTGGACCTCAGCATGGGGGAGAAGCCTTACGCATCCTTGGTGGTTCATGGTTCCACAACGGCAGCAGCGACGAGGGCAAGAGCCGTCGCGGAGCAAATGATACGAGCCATGCCCGTAAATGTTCGTTTCTCCACAATGCAGGCAGGTCGTGTCCTTGCGGCTCATTCCAGAGCCGGCTGGTATCTCTAGCTGATCCACGCAACCCTGGGGCCGAAGGTAGTACTTGACGTCGAGCTTCAGCCTATACTGACCGTTGTCGGCAGTGGCATTGGCATTGGCACTGGCATTGCCATGGGCAGACCCATCGTTGTACCCGTTGGCACTGGGGTTGGCACTGTAGCCACCTCTGCCGCGAGGTGCTCCAGATGGCGCATTGTAGCTCCCTCGTCGAGGTCCTGTCGGCACTTGACGTTGGCCGAAGCCCTGCAGATGGTTGCCGCGTCCTCGCATTTTTGCGTTTTTTTGGCAGATTTCGAACAAAAGTTGGTGTGGTGTGGACGCGAGAGGTAGGAGGCAAGAGCTCTGGAGTGACTGCGGGCAAGAGCTACATGCAGCGAGGAAGGCAGGTCTAATTCATTTTCACTTTTCACACCAGTCAACCTTGGAACGGGAAGGCGGTTCACAGCGTGATACCCATCTTCCCATGGTTCTGCGATGACCCAGAAACGACCCAGAAACGACGACCCAACCACACTGCCCGAATTCCATACGACTTATAGGCGACGAGATACTGGCTTCGGTTGAAGATGTGCAGGTGGCTGGGAAATTTCAGGTGAAATGAGTTAAGTGAATTAAAAATACGAGACAACTCAAGATGGAAGTACAAAGCCAACATGCCTCCGTCTACACCTGGTTACAGTACATGATGACATAAATTTCGGGTATCGCCACAGCCATGAACATTATGAAGAGATGCGCGTCCTCGCGACAGTATTGATCTTCTACGGTCCGCGATGAGCCCCACCGTCGAGCTCGTAGGTATACTGAACAGGGAGCTCCTGCGGTGGCTCGCTAGCGGTGTGCTGGTATTTGTAGGGCCCAGGCATCACGGGCTCTGATGCCAGCTCGGCCTTTGGGTACGCGTCTTGGTACATCACTGCCGGCGCGTACGGTTGCTGCATCTTCTTCTTTTCTCGACGCTTGTAGAGAAACCATAGGACTACGCCGACCACGAGCGCCAGTGTCGGCCCAATAGCGATGCCCGCGATCGCGCCGGATGACAAAGATGAGGACGAGGATGAGGAAGACGAGTCGCTAGACGGAGGTGGCGGTATGGCGCTCGATGCTGCGTTTGATAGGACGTCTGATGCTGTAGCAGGAGCGGAAGAGGGTGTGGGTGATGCTGAGTCTGATGCAGACGAAGTAACCTCGGAAGTCGGTGACGCGGAGCTGGGTTGTATACTCGAACTACTTGTCGGAGCAGCGCTGGCACTGGCTAGTGACACGAGGTCAGCCGAGAGAATCTGGCAGCGTACAAACTTCTCGGTGAACTTGTAGCCCGACGCGCATGTAGTCTGGCCTGGACAGCATGCTTGGTCTACGCCAGCCTCAAGATTAGCGCATGGCACCGAGTCGGCTTCTTCGCAGACAGATGGCTGGTCGACGTAACAGCCAGGCTCGCTATTGGGATTGTCGATGCAGCACCATCCTTTATCGAGGAGGTTCTGGCACTGGGGGTAGCTTTCTCCCTTTCGGATACAGCAGAGCGTATTGCTGGGGTTGCAGGTATTTGTTACTGCGCCTTCGCCTGGAAACGCATCTTCGCATACATCGCGTTTGAAGACTTCGAGTCCTTGCTTGAGGGCGCGCTTGATGTTCAGTGCAGCTTCCTGTGGTGTGGGGGAAGTTCTTGGTCGAAGGTCGAGTGCTCGTGTCGGGGGCTTATTGAGTGTATGCGCAAAAGTGACCGTAGTAAGGCAGAACAGGAAGAAGACCCATCGCGAGACCGTGATGAACGAGCCAGCCATCGGTCAAGCGGATTTGGTGTTGAAGGCCGAAGGTAACAATGCGGTACGCGTCTAGAGAATGGTTTGGTAGAGACGTACAACCACGCGAGCGAGGCCCAGATCTGATCTTATGAGAATAGTGTGCTGAAAGGCCGTGCACCGCCATTGTGCTGCGGTCGATATTGAGACCAATTGCAGTGGCTATCGCCCATCTTAGGGTGGGGGCCTTACAGCGCGCATGTGGATTACTGGCTGAGCGGCCTGAGGTTCGGCCTGAGGCTGTCAGGCAGCCTGGCGCTTAGCCTCATGCTCGTAGTTTCTTCCAATCCTTCTCGAAAGATATGCAAATACACATGCTGCAAGACATCGATGGGTTAGTCCGCGACTTTCCAATACATATGCTTCGCCATCATCGTTGCGCTCAGAAGAGAGGGGGAGGGCGGTCTGTCTCGTAGGTGTGTTATCGTGCCAAGAGCACGTTGGCCCCACGGCAAGGCCTCCAGTAATAGGAGTAGGTCTCGTTGTGGCTGCAGCTGAAACAAGATAGTGACGATTTCCTGGACTATGGGTGGCTTATGGCGTCGATTTGCCACATGTTGAATTTGAGCGGAGGCGCCACGAAACACGTCGCTCAGTCTCGCGACTCGAGGTTGATGGACATCAGAGCCGGTTGTGAAGCTCCGGTGTGACTTGTTATCCTCATCGATGGAATCTGTCGAAGTAGCGCTCTCGCGGCTACATCCGTCGTTTTGTGTGCTTGAAGATGTGTCGCAGCGTGTTGTTGTCGTCTGGTCGATCTTTCATCACGCTAATGCACGTCGAGCCGAGATCGGGGCCAGAGGCTAACCATCCTTGGACTTGGCCGCGGCATGACTTTGGGGGCCGGAACTGAACCCTTTTAGCTGCTGCTGACACGTTCGTAATATTGCTGTGGTCATGATTCCGCGCATATCACTCAGACATGCCCTGATCCATGAGCAGACTCTACGCTATCACGTGTCCAATGTAAACCTTGGCTTCAGCGTATCGCTACCATGGTCCTTAGTAAAATCTCATCTCAACAACCAAAGTACACCACAGTCATGTGCTGCTGCTCCTAATGTCTGGAGGGATGGAATAAAATTTCGCACTTGTGCGTCGTTCCTTCTTCATCGATCTTCAATTCCAATATGAGACTCTACGCCAACGTCATGTCCGCGTTGCGTCGACCGAGTCGAAACCCTTTCATCGCTACGTGTCTCGTACTCCTATCCGTTCTGACTTTCTGGAAACTGAGCTCGAATGTTCCCGATAAACTTTATGGCGGCATCGCTCTTAACGAAGGCCCGTTCGACAAGGCCCTAGTCATCGCTTCCATGAAGCATGAGAATACGTCTTGGTTCTACGATGAGCTTCCAGAGTGGCGCAAATATGTCTATGTAGTGGACGATCCAACCGCCGAGCTCACGGTGCCGGTGAACAAGGGTCGTGAATCGATGGTGTATCTTTCGTATGAATACAACCCTACGCGACGGTGTCGTTTGGCATGCAAGGACTGACTCTGAAATAGCTTCATCATCGACAACTATCACAAATTGCCAGGAAACATTCTCTTTCTCCACGCCGAGAGATACCAATGGCACAACGACGATCCCGACTATGACGGTCTGTCGATCCTGCGAAAGTTTCGCTTTTCCTACCTACAGGAAAAAGGGTATCTCAACCTGCGCTGTGTATGGGTTCTGGGTTGCCCGAACGAGATTCGCCCACTCACAGATGCAGTAGACGCAGCCCACACTCAGCCTCATGCGGGTCATTTCTACAAACAAGCCTTTGAAGTGATCTTCCCAGGTCGCGACATTCCAATGGCAGTTGGTGTTTCTTGCTGCGCGCAATTCGCTGCTACGAAGGAAAAGATACAGGAACAACCGGTTGAATACTATGAGCGCATTCGAAATTTGTTGCTGAGGACAACCTTGGAAGACTCAATCAGTGGAAGGATTATGGAGTATTCCTGGCATAGTAAGATACCCCACCCTGGTCATGGAGTTCCCAGTGTACTAATTCTTGTAGTAATATTTGGGCAAGACCCTATTCACTGCCCCAATGCGAGTGTGTGCTATTGCAAAATGCTTGGGTTGTGCAACCTGAAGTGCACTAGTGGCGCTTGCCATGGCCGGTACGAACTGCCTCCGTTCGCAACTCTCCCTGAAGGATGGCCGATCATTGGTTGGCATGGCGAGCAGCGAAAGCTCGGAGTTCCGGGTTAAGGAAGACATATCGTTGAGTGCTCTGCGAGAGTAACCATGGCAGTCAATGTAGGTGCCAACTTGATGTATGGTAATACTCCCGACCGCTGAACGCTTGCTGTAATCAGCAAAACACTAGGCGAGGCGGGGCGACTGTAGAAACGGGAGCGGACTATTAGGTCTGAACATGCGAATTAGCTCTCGTCAAAGAGAAGGACCGCGTCGGCCAATTACAATCGCCTTAGAAAGTCTGACTTCACGTGTATCGCGACGATCTGCATGCGTTGAAAAGCCTCGTATTATAAGTATCAAATCATGCTTGGTCGAGCGACTGCGCCAAGCACGTAGCGAAATACCTTCCTCTTAATCTTTGCAGTTCCTCATGAGTACCCATTTCGGCGATAATACCATCTTCCATAACGAAGATAACATCTGCATGTCGAATGGTACTCCTGTATAATTGTCAGCAAATGTAATCTGGCACTCGAGGCGGAAGGTACTCACAGCCTATGCGCAACGGCAATCGTCGTTCTTGACATCGCAGCCTCATCCAGCGCCTTCTGCACGATCCTTTCACTTTGAGTGTCCAACGCCGAAGTCGCTTCATCCAGCAACAGCAATCGTGGCTGGCGAATGAGTGCTCTGGCAATGGCAATACGCTGTCTTTGACCACCTGAGAACTGCAAGCCCTTGGATCCACAAGGGGTTTCAAGACCCTCCGGTAAGGAAGCGACGAACTCTAGGACATTAGCTTGGCGACAAGCTTCCTGGATTTCTGCGTCGGAAGGCTTGTGCTCAAGACCAAGGGCGATATTTTCTCGTACGGAGCCAAGGTAGAGTGGTGGTTCTTGTTGCACGAGCGACATGTAACGGCGGTAGAGCTGAGGGGACATGAGCGAAATATCCTGATCGTCTAATGTGATGCGTCCGGATATCGGGTCGTAGAAGCGTAGCAACAGAGATACGACTGTACTCTTGCCACAACCGGAAGGGCCAACAAAAGCAGCAAATTTGCCGGGCTCGATCTTCATGGAGATACCCCTCAGCACCCGGAATGCGTTGCGCTGCTTGTATCTGAACTCGACGTCTTCCATGGCGATGGTTCCATCAGATGGCGGCCCCTTGCCGTTGGTTTCATCGGATTCGCATATGGTCGGTTTGACTGTTCGTAGCCACAAGATGTAGTTTGCGGCCCCTTCTGCTTTTGTGATCGAGGTGCTGTACATGAAGAATTGCGCGACGCCCTGTCCACCGAAGACGATGGCAATGAAGATTACAAAGAACTGCGACGTAGTGTACTCGCCTTTCGCAATCAGCCGCGATCCGTACCAGAAGCCTAGAGCCATGACCAAGAAGTCAGCGGATTGAGAAAGCGCGTATGGGATCAGCGCAAAGGTCAGATTCTTGACGACTTTGCTCGTGATAGCCCGGAGTGTGTCGCTGTATTGCCGCATGATTGAGGTTTCGAGAGTCAGCATGCTGACCGTCCGTATGGAGGTGACGGCTTCTGTTGCCAAACCCGCACTGCCAGAGAACTGTTCCTCTGTAGCGCTCTCGAGCTTCTGGTCCAGTCGAATACGATAGTAGCCGGCAGCGACGATGATGGTCAGCCCGCCGAACACCAGCGTCAATCCAAGCCTCCAGCCATACGCTATGCCAAGCGCACTACTCGCCGTGATATTGACCAAAATGTTGAACATAAGACCCAAGTTCGCAGACATCAACTCCTGCAATGCGGTTGGTGCAGATGAGAGCTTTGAGGTCAACGCGCCAGACGAGTTCTCCGGGCGGTCGAAGAACTCCTGGTCAAAGCTGATAATGCGTTCGATCATCTCCCTTCGATAGCGATGAGTCATTGCCTGCCCAATGTTGTTACATGCAAGACCGATCATGAAGTATGCGAAGAGGTTGGCGAGAGCCAGCACGAAAAACATGAGTGCCCAGAAGTTTGCTTCATCTTGTGCCTCAGACCCTTGCAGTGTGAACACCCGAACGAGGCGAGAGAAGATGATAGCCTGGGCTGGGTAGGTACCGCCGCCGATAATACCCCCAATGATGGTGGCGGTATACCAGACCCAGAGATCAAGGTTCTCCTTCAGCATGATCCAGATGCATTTGATGAGAGAGTAACCCAAGGTTCCAGCAGCAAGCTGCTCGATTTCGCGCTCGAGGTCCGTGTTGCTGTACTGCGATTGCATTCGTCGCATTGGGGCTTTGCTATCCAGGGCGTCTTCGACATCTGCTGTTTCCAGCAGCTCTTTGTCAATGTCTTCGTCGTTGGAATTGGTACCAAGATCTTGTGCGCGCACCATTGCCGCATATAGACCATCGCTCTCAAGGAGTTCATGATGGGTACCCTGCTCGTAGATCTGACCTTCTTTCATGACGATGATGTTGTCGGCCGCCATCACAGTGGCAAGCTTATGGGCGATGATCAGCGTTGTCTTGTTGATCGAAACGCGGTTAAGTGCGCTCTGCACGACCTTCTCTGCGCGAGGGTCTAAAGCGCTAGTCGCTTCGTCAAACAACAGAATCTTGGGGTTCGAGATGATGCTTCGAGCGATGGCAATGCGCTGTCGTTGGCCACCGCTCAACATGCTTGCGCGCTCTCCGACTTGGGTATGGTAGCCTTGCGGTAGCGCCTCGATAAAGTCATGCGCATTGCTGTTCTTACACGCCTCTTGCACGAGTTGCATTTGCGCTTCCGCTGGCAGATCCCTCTGGTCTCCTACAAGGCCCTTGATAATATTCTCGAAGATTGTGCCTTGGAAAAGGGTAGGTTCTTGCTGAATAAGGCGAATGTTGGACCGCAACCATTTCGTGTTGTATTCGGAGATGTCTCGACCAT